TGCGGGACTCGATCCCAGGACCCTGGGATCATGACCTGAGCTGAAGGCAGCGGCTTAACCCACTGAGCCACCCAGGCGCCCTATACACACACTTTTTAAAAAACCTTCTGGGGAAAATTATATATAAAATATAGTTGTTTATACCCTAACATGCCTACACTACTTAAATTTGTAATTGATGGTTTAGCTTACGGAAAGTTGCTATTTTTTTTTAACAGGTTATAAGCAATGCCTTGAAAGTTTGGGGTTTAGAACTAATTCTCTTCAACAGTCCGGAGTATCAGAGGCTCAGGATCGATCCCATGTAAGATTTTATTTTGCTTTTCCTAAATTTGATTTTTAAAGTTAAAATTTCTTAAAGAAGAAATGTTTATTCTGAATGCTTTTGTTTTGATGATCCCTGTTTCATTCCCTCGGTTTCCCATTACATTTTTTGGGGATGTCGTGAACATCTGCCCACTGAGCCTTCCCTACACCTCAGTGTTGGAGCTGATCTTAAATGCTGTGCGAGGCCAATGTGTGTGCCTGGCACCACTAATCTGTAGAGAGATTTTTACGGTTTTGTAATTTCTTAAAAACCAGTGATCCCTAACTGTGAGCATAATCCTAATGTTTTTTATAATACTTGCCAGTAGATAAAGTAAATGAATATGAACTCTACTATTTCAACTTGTGTATGTATCTTTTTCTTTTTCTAGAAATGAAAGATCATTTATATGCAATTACAAAGAACACTGGTTTACAGTTAGAAAATTAGGGAAACAGGTAATGTTTCTCCCCTTCCCTCTCTTTTTTCTCATTTTCTCATTTTGCACTCCATTTGCAACTATAATGTAAAGGATTGGTACCTTAAAGGTGAAGAAACTTACCAGTAATGTGTGTATATGGTATGGTTTCAATCTTGATAGATTTGCTATTTCTCTTTTTTTTTTAAATTGAAATTTTACTTATTTGACAGAAAGAGACAGTGAGAAAGGGAATATAAGCAGGGGGAGTGGGAGAGGGAGAAAGAGGCTTCCTGCTTAACAGAGAGCCTGATGTGGGGCTCGATCCCAGGACCCTGGGATCATGACTTGAGCTGAAGGCAGACGCTTAACAACTGAGCCACTCAGGCGCCCCGAGATTTCCTATCTTAAAAGACAGTATCAGTTTCCTTAGGGCACCTGGGTGGCTCAGTTGTTAAGCTTCTGCCTTCAGCTCAGGTCATGATCCCAGGGTTCTGGGATTGAGCCCCGCATCAGGCTCCCTGCTCTGCGAGAAGCCTGCTTCTCCCTCTCCCACTCCCCCTGCTTGTGTTCCTTCTCTCGCTGTCTCTCTCTCTCTCTGTTAAATAAATAAATAAATAAAATCTTTAAAAAAAAAAAAAAGACAGTATCAGTTTCCCTTATAGATTTATTTATAACAACCATGCAGAGTTGGCTCTTGAACAGCATGAGTTTGAACTACATGGGTCCACTTACACATGGATTTTTTTTTTTTTACAGTAGACTACTGTAAATGTATTCTCTGTATGGTTTTCATAGTAACATTTTCTTTTCTCTAGCTTTATTGTAAAAATAAGTATATAAGGGGCACTTGGCTGGTCGTAGAGCATGCAACTCTTAGTTTCAGAGTTGCGAGTTCAAGGCCCATGTTGTGGATGGAGACTACTTAAAAAAAAAAAGGTACATAATACATTATACAAAATACGTGTAAATTGTTCATGTTAGCAGTAAGGCATCTAGTCACCAGTAGGCTATTAGTAGTTGAGTTTTTTGAGGAGTCAAAAGTTACATGTGGATTTTCAACTGTGGAAGGGGTCAGCACCCCGAGCCAGGGTCAACTGCACAATTTAACCTATATCATAAGAAAAAGTTTCTATTTAATACAGATGTGGTTACTTTTAGTGGGTTTTTATGTGATAAAGATGTTAATCCAGTTAATGGTGACTTTTATAGATTTATGTTTAGTGTATAATAGTGTCATGAAGCCTAAAACAACGTCCAACGTGAGTAAAATTTTTTCAGTTATGTTAGCTTTAGCATATCAGGATTATTCACATGCCAAAATGCCATGTAATACATATATCGACATGAAGTCATTTCTGGTTTTGGGTGGGGGGCAGTTTCAAAAAAGAATATCAAGAAATGTACTTAAAATCAAGAAATGTACTTAAGATATCATTTTTGTAAACAATAACCGAAGATCTTTATATACATGATACCACTTTTGAAACAATTATTTAAAGTCCTTTTTTTTAGAATTTAGAATTTTCAAAAGAGGGTTATTGTAAATGATCAAATATAAAAAGAAATGAACTATTGGTATGTTCAATAACATGGATGGATCTAAAAATAATTAAGCTGAGTGAAAGAAGCCAGACACAAAATACTACGTAGTGGATGTTTCTATTACATAAAGGTCTAGAAGATTCAAGCTAACCTATAGAGACAGAAAACAGATTGACCAGTGGTTGCCTGGGGATGAGGAAGGCAAGGAGTAGTGAGAGATTAGGTTTATACGGGGCACCAGAAACTCGGTTGTGGTGATGGTTTCTTAGGTGTATAGATATGTTAAACTTCAAATTGGACATTTTAAATGTGTGCGATTTCTTGCATGTCAGTTACATCCCCATAAAACTTAAAAAAAAAAAAAAAAACGATACAGGGCAGGGGCACCTGGGTGGCTCAGTGGGTTAAACCTCTGCCTTTGGCTCAGGTCATGATCTCAGGGTTCTGGAATAAAACCCCGCATTGGGCTCTCTGCCTGGCGGGGAGCCTTCTTCCTCCTCTCTCTCTGCCTGCTGCTCTGCCTACTTGTGATATCTGTCTCTCTCTCTCTGTCAAATAAATAAATCTTTAAAAAAATAATACAGAACAAAAAAGAAAATGAAATCAAGAATGAGTGCATTGAATTAAATCAATGAGATCATTCAAAAGCAGGAACTGTACTGCTACCTTTAAAGTCAGCTACCTAGAGGCAGCTTCATATGACATGGTTATCCCTAAAGGTCCCTCTTAAGTTACAAAGAGCAGGGAAGGCGCTGTGGCGCATTAGGGGTGAACTGAATGGGAATCAGCTCTAGGGAAAGACAATGGAGGATGCTGCCAAGATTATTTAACCTTTGGCTTTTATTTATATTTTTTTAAAAATGCAATTAAGTATTCCTTACTTTTTCTGTATAAGGTAATCACTAGATGTCTTTAAGATCTGAAAACTTAGGTCCCAGAAGTTCCTTTATATTGATTTGCATATAAACTTAACATCATTATTTTGATAGGTTGTAAAAATTTTAGTTCTTAATTTTTTTAAGATTTTATTTATCTATTTGTCAGAGAGAGAAAGAGTGCAAGAGAGCACACAAGCAGGAGGAGAAGCAGGCTCCCCGCTGAGCAAGGAACCCAATGTGGGGCTCAGGCCCAAGACCTTGGGATCATGACCTGAGCTGAGGGTAGACGCTTAACTGACTGAGCCACACAGCCATCCCCCAAATTTTAGTTCTTTAAAATTGAACTTTAGGGTGCCTGGGTGGCTCAGTCAGTTAACTGTCCAAGTCTTGATTTTGGCTCAAGTCTGATCTCATGATTCGTGAAATCCAGCCCACTGAGCAAGGAGCGTGCTTGAGCATTCTCTTTCCCTCTGGCCCTCCCCACACACTCTCACTCACTCTCTCTCTTTCTTTCTCAAATAAATAAATAAAACTTAAAAAAAAATTAGTAAATAAAACTGAGTTTTCACATTTTACTTTATCTTTGACAAATACAAGAAATACTATCATTTTGATTTATCTTTGGCTCTAATTTCTATTTTTGTTTATAGTTATATTTCTAATTACATAGTCTTTTGTATGAGGTTCTTGTATTACGAAAAAGATGACTGGAAAAGTTTCTTTTTTTCCTGTGTATGTTTTTTATTCCGGTGTAGTTAACATGCAGCGTTATATTAGTCTCAGTGTGCAGTATAGTGAATCAGCGACTCTACGTTACCCAGTGCTGCTCACAGTCAGTGTATTCATCACCTTCACCCGTTTCATCCATCCCTTCAGTTTGTTCTTTGTAGTTAAGAATCTGTTTTTGGGGTGCCTCGGTGGCTTAGTGGGTTAAGTCTCTGCCTTCAGCCCAGGTCATGGTCTCAGGGTCCTGGGATCAAGCCCCACATTGGGCTCTCTGCTCAGCCGGAAGTCTGCTTTCTCCTCTCTCTCTCTGCCTGCTGCTCTGCCTACTTGTGATCTCTCTCTGTCAATTAAATAAAATCTTAAAAAAAAAACAAAAAACAACAGTCTGTTTTTGGTTTGTCTCTCTTTTCTTTGTTCCTTTGTTCTGTTTCTTAAATTCTACATATGAGTGAAATTATATATTATTTGTCTTTCTCTGACTGATTTCACTTTTTTTTTTTTTTTTTTTTTTTTGATAAGAAATCACAAATAGGCAGGGAGGCAGGCGGGGGGGGGGGGGGAAGCAGGCTCCCGGCTGAGCAGAGAGCCTGTGCAGGGCTCAATCCCAGGACCCTGAGATCATGACCTGAGCCGAAGGCAGAGGCTTTAACCCACTGAGTCACCCAGGCACCCCTTTTTTTTTTTAATGATTTCACTTATTATTATAATCTCTAGATCCATCCATGTTGTGGCAAGTAGCAAGGGTTTTTTTTTGTTTTGTTTTTTCCCAGATTTATTTATTTAGAGAGAGAGAGAGCATGAGTTGGGGGGGAGAGCCAAAGGGGGAGAGCCAGAGGGGGAGGGAGAGAGAGTCTTAAGCAGACTCTGATCTAAGCACAGAGCTAGACTTAGGGCTTGATCTCTTGACCCCCAGATCATGACCTGAGCCAAAATCAACAGTCGGAGGCTTACCCAACTGAGCCCCCCAGGTGCCCCAAGATTTCATTCTTTTTTATGGCTGAGTAATATCCCAAGTGTGTGTTTGTGTGTGTGTGTGTGTGTGTGTGTATCTTCTATCTTCAGCCATTCATGTGTAGGTGGACACTTGGGCTGCTTCCATAATTTGGCTCTTGTAAATAATGCTGCAGTAAACATAGAGGTGCATATATCTTTTCAAAGTAGTGTTTGGTATTCTTTGGGTAAATATCCAGTAGTGGAATTACTGGATTGTAGGGTAGTTCTATTTTTAATTTTTTGAGGAACCTCCATACTGTTTTCCACAGTGGCTGCACCAGCTTGCATTCCCACCAGCAGAGCACAAGGGTTCCTCTTTCACGTCATCCTTGTCAACACTTGTTGTTTCTTGTGTGTTTGATTTTAGCCATTCTGACAGCTGGTATCTCATGGTAGTTTTGATATGCATTTCTGTGATGATGAGTGATGTTGAGCATCTTTTCATGTGTCTGTTGGCCATCGGCATGTTGTCTTTGGCGAAATAAATGACTGGAAAAGCATTGTATCTGTCAAAATCAAGGAAATATAATAGGTCATGATGCTGTGTCATTTTTGAAACTTCTGGATCTTGTGGGTTAAATTAGGAGTCCTGTGAAGTAGTGACTAACTGATCTTAATTACATGTGATAGGGGCTTAGTGATGTTTGTAAGATAATTGGCGATTATGAATTCTCTTTCTGGAATGTCTAGTTCTCTCACAACTGAAATCTTTTTAAATTTTATTTATTTGAGAAAGAGGGAGAGCATGTGCAGGAGCAGGAAGAGGGGCGGGGGGAGAGAGAATCCTTGAGTGGAGTCTGCATGGAACCTGGAGCCGAACATGGGGCTCCATCTTATAGCCCTGAGATCATTACCTGAGCTGAGACCAAGAGTCAGACACTTAACTGACTGAGCCACCCAGGCACCCCTGAAATCTCTTGACCAAAATTATCAGCAGTGGGAAAATTTTGTATAGTTTATTTTTCTTCAGTATAATGTGATAAGGATTTTGTTGGGCCAATACTTTGAAAAAAGATTCAGTTATACCTATCAGTAAAGATACTTTAAAGTACTGATTTAGTTTCTATACTCTTTTTGGGAGTGGGAGATTTAGAATTTATGACTTAAAGCACAATTCTATTTTTAAACATTTTTTAAAGGCATTTAATATTGATAAATCTGCAATGCTTATCTCAGTTCTTAAAAATCACATTATTACTTCTAAAAAATCTTGGTTTAACAGTGTTTTCAGTATTTAGATAGTCTTAATATGTTTAGACGTGTTATATTCTTAACACATGGAACTTCCTTATTACTTATAATGTACATTAACTTAAATATTTACAATTTTTTTTCCAGTGGTTCAACTTGAATTCTCTCTTGACGGGTCCAGAATTAATATCAGACACATACCTTGCACTTTTCTTGGCTCAATTACAACAGGAAGGTAAATAAAGACCTAAATTTTTATAATGTTATCTTTCGAAGTAGCTAAATAAAACTAGTTCTATTAGGTTTAAGTATAAAAAGAACTTTAGGGCAGTGAAATCATCTTGGTGAACTTTAATCTGTGATTTGGATGACACCGTCCAGGCAGAATTTTCACTGATACTTTGCGCTCACCTGAGGATGCTGCTTCCTTAGCAGCCCCACTAAGTGTAGCTTTTTTTCCTTCCAGACCCCACAGACCCCCATGGCTAAGGGTTGGGGGTGGGTAATCTTCCTGCTTCTCCTTGCCCCTCTTGGGCCACTGTCCTTTGCTGAAAACTCTAGCTCCTTTAAAATACCTGACCCTAAAAAATTAATTAATTAATTAATTAATTAATTAAAAAGCTAAAATAAAACACCTGACACGAGTAAACTCTCCCTCCTTTTGCATTTATCTATGATCCTCCTTTCCCACAGAAGATTTTTAGAGTCTGACTCGCTGTTTTCTCTCAACTTGAACTCCTTTCGTCATTCTTAAGTGATTTCTACATCAAAATAGGAACCACATCAGCAACACCTTGACTGGGTTTTGAGCCTTGGTTTCCCAGCTCCTGTTTTCAGCAAGGAGGGGGTTGTGTGTGCGTGCGCCCGTGAGTGTGTGCGTGCATACGTGCGCATAAGGTTGGAGGGGGTCAGCTTTTTCTACAGATGATTCATTTTACCCATATTTCACATTATTACACACATTATCTGGCTGTATCCTTACAACAGCCCTCTGAGGAAGGTACCAGTATCATTAGTTTAACAGTAGCAAAAACTGAGATGTAGCCGATTACACTGATTGACCAAAGACCATGCTCAGTCTTGGAATTGGAAGAGCTAGGACCAAAACCCTGGCCATCTGATTCCAAATTCCTTGCTCTTCCCCCTCCTTTACCTGCCTCCCTGCTATCATTTAGTGAGTAGTCTCCTTGGTCACACGTTCTCTTGGTAGGGCTCTTTGCAGACATTATTTCATTTATTCCTCACAGTTGCTCTATGAGATGGCTATTCCCATCTTGCAGATGAAGAAAGTGGGGCTTCGAAACTTTCAGTAGTTTGTCCTAGATCACCCTGCCAGTAAGTGTAAGAACCATTATTTGAACCCAGGTCTTTCCCACCCTTCAGCTTGTATTCTTTCCACTCTACTGTGCTGCCTTCCCATCTGCTGTCATTTTAAACCTATTGTTAATCTCTTACTAGCTGTTTTAGTGTATTTTTGCCTTTTTTTTAGGTTATTCTATATTTGTTGTTAAGGGTGACCTGCCAGATTGTGAAGCCGACCAACTTCTACAGATGATCAGGGTCCAACAGATGCAGAGACCAAGACTCATCGGAGAAGAACTAGCACAACTGAAAGAACAGAGGTAAAATTAGGCCTGCAGTATGGAGTATATGATAGTATTTCATCACAAGAATTACATTTTCTTTCTTTTTCTTTAAAGATTTTGTTTTTTTAAGTAATCTCTATATCCAGTATGAGGCTTGTACTCACAAGGCCGAGATCAAGAGCTGCAAGCTCTACTGACTAAGTCAGCCAGGGGCCCCAAGAATTACATTTTCATGCTTGCTTTGGGTGTGTGGTCCTTTTATTGTTGGTGATTTTTTTTCTTTTTAGACTTGTTATATTTTTAGTGAAGTTTTTTGGTTCAAACTTGAATCAATTCTTTGAATTACTTAATTAGCTTAGATCCAAATCACAGCATGATCTTTTTATTTTTTTTTAATTAATTAATTTATTTATTTGACAGAGAGAGATCATAAGCAGGCAGAGAGGCAGGCAGAGAGAGAGAGAAAGGGAAGCAGGCCCCCCGCCAAGCAGAGAGCCCAATGCGGGGCTCGATCCCAGGACCCGGAGACCGTGATCCAAGCCGAAGGCAGAGGCTTAACACACTGAGCCACCTGGGCGCCCCAGCATGATCTTTATATTATGAGATGCTCTACCAGAAAACGTGTAATTCTTGACTTACATAGACTCTTTGGGGGCAACTGGCTGGCTCAGTCAGTGGATCATGTAACTCTCGATCTCGGGGTTGTGAGTTCAAGCCCCACATTGGATGTAGAGATTACTTAAAAATAAAATCTTAAAAAATTATTTTAAAAAGTTTTTCATTTATAAGTGTCTCTATTGTTCATCCAAACCAGGAAGACTGATCTGCAGTTACTATCTGTTTTTGTTCTTCAGAGTCCAGAAAACAGATCTGGAACGAGTCTTAGAAGCAAATGATGGGTCGGCCACGTTAGACGAAGATGAGGAAGATTTGCAGAGGGCTTTGGCACTAAGTCGCCAAGAAATTGACATGGAAGATGAAGAAGCAGATCTCCGGAGGGCTATTCAACTCAGTATGCAAGGTCGCGATGTTTGGATGTGTACTTCATTTGTTGTCGAAGGGCTGATTCAGATCATTCTTTGTTCCCCTGGTAGTAAACGTACTGTTGGTAAAAGTTCTTTGACAGTTACCGCAAGAGCAGTAACTATGTACATACAGTCAGCTATTCTTTGAGCTTTCTTATAATACAAATAACTTTTTACAACCTAAATTATATTAGGACTAGTTATGTTTTATGCTGGTTTTTCCGTTTGGTTATAACAAATGGAAGCACAACAATAGCAAAACAATAAATGGAGCTTAATCTTTTTGGGCAAAAAGCAGGGAGGCCCTTCCCAGACCAGCTCTTCTGTAAATGTATGCTGTTGGATACAAAGGAAGGCCTGGGCAGAAAATATTTAAAATGTCTAATTTAGGGGCTGTGCAACTTAACAACTTAAGCCCACTTGGATGGGTCTACCTTGAAGAGTGACATAAGGAGAATGAAGATGTATCCCCCAGGGAGACCAGGCAGAGGGAATTGTCTGGGATATAGCTCAGAGAGGCTTCCTGAAAGGTGTGCGTGGTTTTTTTTGGCTGTTTTGTTTTCATCCAATTAATGTGAATTTGCCTGCTGCTTAATGAGATTACTCAATGGAATTTCTTAAATATCTAAACAAAATTGAAGTTATGTTACTATGAAGATTATCCTTTCTATCCTGAATTCTCCTGCCTCCTGGCACATCCTGGAGTGCTTCATATGTGTGCAATCCCACTTTTGATTAGTAGAGCCCTGGTCGATTAGCCCAACAATGAACAGATAGCAGCTTTTATAATTTTAGATATTTTGGGGACCTTCACTTTTCTTCCTGCTTCATTTCACCATCTGAGCAGGATCTCTGCTTGGTGCAGTTATTAAGCGAGAACAGGGACACACATTTCCTTGACTTGGTATATATAGCGTGCAAGTATTTTAGGTTAGAGGAATACAGAGAATGGCTTTCCAGTCAACCACTTTAAGTTGTTTCTAGTTGAAAGGGCCCATTTGTTTCTAGTAAGTTAAAGAGGGCGCACACATGTGATGTTAATGGCTCTTCCTTCCAGGTTGGCTGTTGGACTTACATCCTCACATCCGCTATGTCACAGATGGGTGTGGACATGGATTATATTTGAACTGCCTTATTCAGATTTGTCCTTGAAAGTTTCAGAGCCTTTCTTATATTTATAGAATAGTATCACAATATTTTTAAGAGGAAAACTTTTCAAAAACTTGCTCAAATAAGTATAAACATAGGGTTGCTTAAATTGGTAAATAAAGGGGGCGCCTGGGTGGCTCATTTGTTTAACTGACTGCCTTCGGCTCAGGTCGTGATCCTGGAGTCCTGGGATTGAGTCCCACATCAGCTCCCTGCTTAGCAGGGAGTCTGCTTCTCCCTCTGACCCTCCCCCTTCTCATGCTCTCTTTCTCTCTCATTCTCTCTCTCTCTTTCTCAAATAAATAGAATCTTTTAAAAAAAATTTTTAGTTTTTAATCTTTTAAAAAAAAATTAGTTTTTTATTCTGTTTTCTTTTGTTTTCAGGTAGTTCCAGAAGCATATCTCAAGATACTCCACACACCTCAGATACACATCTGACTTCAGAAGAGCTCCGGAAGAGAAGAGAAGCCTACTTTGAAAAGTAAAGTAGTTGGTACAATATTAAAATTGCATATTTAATGTGTGCTTTGTCTGTTGTGTCTACAGTTTATACGTGTAGAGCTTTGGTTTAAACTATTTTATTTAGGATTCTCGCCTTTCAAAAGATTGGTTACCCCCTGAACCCTGTGAACATCTAAGTGTATTCTTTTTTTTAATTTATGATGAATGATCTGAAATGATAAGTAGTTTTAGGGAAAACCTTTGCCTTGATACCAATTAAGTTTATATGAAATAAGGTGAAGGAAACCCATTTGAATTTCAGTCATCAAAAGAAAATGGACCAAAGCAAGAACAATGCCTGGTGATCCTCTGGATATGCTTCTTGGTTATCTGACCAGCCCTGCAAAGTTCTTCTATCACTTAGCAGGGCAAACAGCACTGCGGTCGGGAAGCACACTCCCACCTCAGACAGAGGTGGTGGTTCATTGTTCTGATGCTCACTTGAGGGGTTATTGCAGGCCTGTTGGCGTAGGGACATGGGGGCAAACCATGAATCTGAATCATCAGCTCCCAAAGCCCACCTGCTTAAGTGCTCTCAAATCAGAAAATAAAAATGTCATCCTTCCCAGTAATAACCATGCACAAGTTGTCTTCCCTTTTTCTTCTTTGAAGGATAAAACTTTATTTTAAAGGTTACACAGTAAAGTAAAGGTTACACAGATAGATAAATACTCAGATCCTCTGATCCCAGACCAGAAACCAGAAGGCCAGTGGCTGAATCTGGCCTGTTCACTGTGTTTCATCAATTCTGAGATGTACGTATTTTCACATTTCAACATCTCCGCAATTAAGCATCTCACAATCATAATTGGCAGTATTAGAGGAATCTAAAATATTGGTGCATTTTACATTTGATGGTGTAATGAAGATAATATTTACTTTGTTTTCTGTTTTTTTTTTTTAAGTCACAGCTCAGAAGTATATGAAGGAAAGTTCTGATCAGCTGACATCCTCTTAATGTGAGATATTTCTAGTCTTTATTCAGTGATAGATTAATGGATTTAATTATAAAATTTCAAAATAGTGCTTATTAGTGCTTCACTTCCCTTCAAATTTTTAATTTTCTTTTTAATTTTGATAAACTTCAGATATCTATAAAAGTAGAGAAACCAGCATAATGAACCCCTGTTTACTTAACGTTGCCCAGCTTTAACCAATGTCAGCACATGGCCAGTGTAGTTTTCTGTGCCCCCATCTCCCCTGCTTTCCCCTCTCCTACCACCAAGCTGGGATTATTTTGTGACATCTAAATTATTTTATCCTTTCATCCATTTTCTGGGAATATAGTGAAATGTTACTGTCACATTATAATATTAATAATTACCACATGATAATTGTTGGTAATTCTACAGTATCATCAAACATCTAGTTAGTGTTAAAAATAAGGGGCGCCTGTCTGGCTTAGTCAGTGAAGCAGGTGACTCTTGACCTTGGAGTTAAGTTTGAGCCCCACATTGGGTATGCATATTATTTATAAAGTCTTTTTTTTTTTTTTAAGATTTTATTTATTTATTTGACAGAGAGATCACAAGTAGGCAGAGAGGCAGGCAGAAAGGGAGAGGGAAGCAGTCTCCCTGCTAAGCAGAGAGCCCGATGTGGGGCTCGATCCCAGGACCCCGAGATCATGATTGGAGCCGAAGGCAGAGGCTTTAACCCACAGAGCCACCCATGCGCCCCTATGTATAAAATCTTAAAAAAAAAAAAAACAAACTCCAAACTGTTTAATTAGATAAAAACCAATATTCTAGAAAATTTAAGACATATCAAAATTAAAGGAAAACAATCCTAGCCTTTAAAAATTAATGTTAGTATTTGACACATTCTCTTCTAGTCACACACATGTATATTGTATGTTAGTTACATCCATTTTCCCATCATAGTAAATAGTCTTTATAATAGGCTGTGTGGTATTTCATAAAATGAATGTGTATATCATAATTTATATGTGAACCTTTGACTTTTACTATTACAATTAATAGTGCAATGAATAATGTTTTTACTAACCCTGTGGCTCAAACCTCTCATCATTTCTTCCAGTTATTCTGAGATTTTTGGGTCAAAGGACAGAAACATTTTTTTAAGGTCTTGGTACAGATTTCTAAACTGCTTTTCAGAACGTTCCCAAATGATACTTCTATCATGCTTATTTCACATTCCATTTTTTGCCAGATTAAATTGGTCCAAACAGATATACTTTATTTTTTTTAAATATTCTATTTATTTATTTGTCAGAGAGATCACAAGTAGGCAGAGAGGCAGGCAGAAAGGGAGAGGGAAGCAGGCTCCCTGCTGAGCAGAGAGCCCAGTGCAGGGCTTGATCCCAGGACCCTGAGACCATGACCTGAGCTGAAGGCAGAGGCTTAACCCACTGAGCCACCCAGGTGCCCCAAACAGATATACTTTATAGCAAAACTACAAAATTCACAAGTAGACCTAAGAAAAAGAAAATTTTTTATACTTTAAAAAACAAATCCCTTTTTTACTTTTTTAAAAAAATTTTCTTTTAGTTTTTTTTATTTTTTTTGTGGCAGTTGGGCGGGTTGAAAATGTGGAACTTTAATACATTTCATCTTTATCGTAGAGAGGATTTAAAATGTTTGAGTGTCAGTGCAGCTCCTTCCAGGTTGAAGGATAGTTGACTGGGTAGGAAGATGTGCATTGATGGTTTCCAGCTTCAGTTTCATCATCTGCCTCCTGGTCTGATCTTGAAAATATTGCTGGGAACTTAAGGAGAACTAGAGAATGTTTAACAGTCACATGTTGCTGAAAAGAGTTAAGAGCTGACTTCTGATGTTTCTTTTCAGCATTGTCTAGCATTCAGAATCTTGTAAGACTCGTTAGTAAAGGAGCTGAGAAACAATATTAGTCTCTAATATTGGGCCTTTCACTAGAATTCCTGATTACTTAGACTACAAGCTTCAGTCTTTGGGAACTGAGCTCTAAGGTTATTGAGCTAACTCTTCGTTCCTGCTGACCCTCTCTAAATGGGCCCTGGTGCTAACTTGTTATTCAAACAAATTTTGAATTCAAAATAAGGGGTTTTTTTTCCCCCATTCAAAGGGTTTATTATTCATTCAAATAGTTTTTTTCCCCCCTATACGGTATTTGAAGCTTCATGCCTAATGTAATAACCACAGTATTCATGCACCAAGCATAAAAGTACTGTTTAAAAACCTACTTGTTACAAAGTCATAGTCAATGGGGGCACCTGGGTGGCTCAGTTGGCTAAGTGTCCAACTCTTTTGATTTCTGCTGAGGTCATGATCTCAGGGTTGTGAGATCCAGTGCTGCATTGGGCTCCCCGCTCAGCAGGGAGTCTGCTTCTCTCTCTCTCCCTTTGCCCCCATATGCACATATGGGCATTCTCTCCCTCTCACTGAAATAAATCTTAAAAACAAACCAACAAAGTCATTGTTAATGAATATTAAGTAATATGTTCATAGCCAAGATATATTTTCCAGTAGTAATCTCTAAACCCATTACCTATTACTAAACCCCAGGTAAAACTCTTAGTATATATCAGCAATGTCACTATAAAACCTACCTTAAAAACTCACAAATTGAGTGTCATATTAGACAAAGTGTGTAAAACTATTGTGTAAACTGTAAAGTATTTCACAAATACCTTAGTTCCCAAGAATTTTTAATTCTTCTCCACGTGTAGCTCTGAAATGATACAAATTCTTTCCTCTGTTACTAAAAAACATTTCCCAACAAAGAGGGAATTACTGGCATTGTCTTCATGGTCATGGATTGCTGTGATTTTTTTTCATTGTTTAACACTTGAGCTCAGTGCCCAGTGGCATGGCATAACAGGATTCAGTTTAAGAAACAAGCTAGTAGAGGTATTTTAAGCAGGAAAATACTTAGTACAGAAACTCAGCACTTACCCAGTCTTAGGAAGAGCTGGAGGTACAGTCTTTAGGCCAGGCTTCCAGAATTCCAAAGACCAGCTTGTTTGAAGAGCTGTGTCCACTGCCCCAGTTGTCATCATGGGGAATTGGGATATATGGGGTTGAAGAACACACTGCTGTGGCTGTCATCCTAGGATCAGGAAGCTGCCACCACAGTTGCCTAGACATGGGAACACAAAATCTGGCCCCCACTGCAGCTGGCATGAAGCAGAATCCTGGCATGGCAGCTCCCTGACTTGACTTGCCAGCAGAGAACATCCAAAGCAGCAGGAGGATGGTTGTGTCTCATTTCTGCGAGTGCTTAATTGATAACCAGAATCCTAGCTGTACAGAGACCTAAGATGATGTTTTTAGCTTTCTAGCCTCCGATTCCGAGGGCACATTCAAAGCCACAGTGAAAATGGTGCCGCTTTGCTGTTCAAACATGTTGCATATTACTGTGTCATCAAATATGAAAAGTGTCAAAATTGTTTCAAGGTTGGCAACTCATTTACTTCTCACTTTTCATAAATTTAAAGTAGAATAAAGGTTATCCCTCTTAAGGTCACTGCCTCACCTACCATGCTCCTGTGTTCTGACATACTGTCTTGATTGAAGGGGGAAAGGGCATGGAGAGAGAGCTGATGGGCCAAGATTTTCCTCCTGCCTCGCAAGCCTGTCTCGTGCACATCCCAGACTCAGGGTGTGCTGGTGGGAGCGTTCTGCCATCTTAGGCATCATTAGCCCCGCATGCCTGAGAATAAACTGAGACAAATGTCGGTATACTTGGGTTTTCTTTGTTACTCATATTTAAAACAGAAGATTGAGACTCTAAGGGGAAAAAAGTATGCTATTCTATTAATAGTGTTACTGGTAAATTTAAAATACTGGTTCCTTTAAAAATCCTTCTGAACATTTATCTTTAAAGCTATGGCTTCTCAGAGTATCAGCTCTTTGTAAGGTTCATCTAATTTTCAACATATATATCTGCATATGATGTGAAATAATTTGAAATGTAAAAGCAGAAATAGTTAACAGAACTCCTTTATACCTTTTGCCCGAATTCCCCAATTGTTGACATTTCTGAGGGGTTTGAACATAACTTGCAGACATGATCTCCCATTACATCTCAATATTTCAGTATGTATTTTTTTACATACAAGGACACTGCGCTACATATTTATTTATTTATTTATTTATTTATTTTTAAAAGATTTTATTTATTTATTTGACTGACAGAGATCACAAGTAGGCAGAGAGGCAGGCAGAGAGAGAGGAGGAAGCAGCCCTCCCCACCCCCCACCGAGCAGAGAGCCCGATGTGGGGCTCAATCCCAGGACCCCGGGACCATGACCTGAGCCGAAGGCAGAGGCTTTAACCCACTGAGCCACCCAGGCGCCCCTGTCCTACATATTTAGATCATAACCACCATGTTAAAAGTTTTAAAATGTGGATTTTTCTGACGTTGTTTTTCTGTCTGAAAAAATACGGGGAAAATTTATTTTAATGCAATAAATGGTACTGAAACTTGATCATGCATCTTAAAGTTATATTCTTTCATTGATCAAGTATTTGGTGAATGCCTGCTAACGTTGACAGGCACTATTTTAGGCACTTGGGAAACAAGATAAAGTATGTGCTCTTGTTAGCTGATGCTCGAAAGAGACACAGAGTATCAGATGGTGATAAGTTGATGCCTGAAATTGAAAGGGAGCAGCGATGAGATAATGAGAGTACTTGGAGACTGCTGCAGGTGGCTGGTCAGGAAAGGTCTCTCGGAGGACATGCTGAACCTCAGAGCTGGAGGACAAGGAGGAGCTGGCCATGGAAAGATATGTTAACTTGCATGGTAGTTGGGATGTTTTATATTCTCAAAGGTGCTTATTTTTAGTGACTTCAACAATATTAAGGATCTGTAAACCAACATGTTTGCATAAGAATAGCTACCAGCAAATGCTTATGTTGATGTGTTATTTTGTGGTGAAAATTTTTACCTATTAATTTGATAATTCAAATTTTGTATCTAGGTTTCCTAGGATCGGCACTGTGATACTTTCAAGTAACATAAATCGGACTGGTTGCTCTGGCATTCTTTTGTGGAGTTTGTGACAATGACTCTTGTTTTGTGGAACTTTATATTTTCCATGTGAATACTTTTTCTCATGGCATATTTATTCTTAGGGTTTGTTTTTTTTTAATGTACATTCACTTTTGACTTATTTCAGGCGGCAGCAGCAGCAGCAGGGTCCTCCCGGACAGCTGTCACAGCCGTGTGAGAGACCGACCACAAGTTCAGGAGCACCGGTTAGTGATCCAGGTATGTAGCTCTGCCCATGCTCTGACACAGGCTCCCTGTGATCTTGGCTTTACAGGCTTTTTTTCTCCCCTCCTTAATATACTGAAACTCTTGTATAACTTCGTAATCTACTAAGTCCTTAGATTAAGAAGCAGGCAGACTAGAGTACTCAGTGAATATGTTTCTTAAGAATTACAAACAACAGGGCACCTGGGTGTCTCAGTCATTAGGTGTCTGCCTTTAGGTTGGATCATCCCAGGGTCCTGTTGGGCTCCCTGCTCAGCGGGAAGCCTACTTCTCCCTCTCCTGCTCCCCCTGCTCATGTTCCCTCTCTCGCTGTCTCTCTGTCAAATAAATAAATAAAATCTTTAAAAAAAAAATTATAAACAACACTTGCAATTTAGAGTAATTAATAATTCTCCAAAAATTCCTCAGATATAATGGATACTAGTAGTTGGAAGATGAATACATTTTACCCCCTGGAAAACTAAAATGCCCAAGTGTAGTCTAGAATTATTTATCAGGCCTTGGTTTAATAGGTCTTAAACTTTGGTCAATTATTGGTAGTACAAGTTGAGTAAGCAAACAACTGTATGTGACAAAGGCCAAGAAAATTCAGATGGGCAAAGATTTGAACAGATCCTTCACCAAACATATGGTTGACAAAGAAACCCATGAAAATATGGTCACTATTAATAATCATTAGGGAAATGTAAATTAAAATACAAAGAGATACCATTACACACCTTATTATAAGAATGGTTTAATAAAAAACAAAATCGAGAGTACCAAATGCTGGCTAGGATCAGAGCAACTAGACACCTGTACATTGTTGATAGGAATATAAAATGGTACAGCAACTTTGGAAAACGGTTTAGTATTTTCTTATAAATTTAAATGTACACTTAACCATATGATTCAGTAGGCCCCACTCCTAGGTATATAACCAAGAAAATAAAGAAAACATAAGTTCCCAGAAAAACTTGCAGGTGAATGTTCACAGCAGCTTAATTTTTAATTGTCAGAATCTAGAAGTTACCTAACTGTGGTCCTTCAGTGGTGAGTGAATGCACAAACTGTGGTACTTGCAAACAGTGGACTACTATTTCACAATAAAAAGAAATGAACTGGGGCTTTTCCCTATTCTCCTGCTATTTACAGCTAATAACCGTGGACATTTATAACAAACATAAGAAAATTCTGAAAGGCAGAGAGAAGACAGGCTGTATAGGAGGCTCAAGGACCAGAGGAATGACACAGTAATGTGTAGCCTGGATTTTCTTTTTGTCTCACATATTCTGGACTTGGTGCTGAAGAAGCCACAGTAAGGATGAAGTAATAAAGCCTGTTGTGTATGGTCAAAAGGGACTACTTAGCAAGTAAAAACTTTTGAGATAATAAATACTCTATTCCAGCCAAACAGGATTAGGTAAATAAACTGGCCTTACTGTCACCCCACCCCATTGACACAGACCAAGTAGGAGGGTAGACTGGTATCCCAGCTGCCAGGAACGAGGTGTACTTCCTGCTTCCCCTGGCCAGGGTGGTGTCAGAGAAAGCCACGTGGGAAGCTGGGACTTTAGGTCCCTCCAGGAGACAACGAGGGGCTCTTTCCCATGGTGTCCATGGTTGTAGGGAGCCTACACTTCCCCCCCACCAATACAATGTGGAGGAGTCCCTCTGGCTTCCTGCCTGGCTGGTTTCAAAAGAGGCCCAGTGGAGAATTGGAGTTAGCGATTTGAGGCACTAAAGAGGCCATACCCAGAATGTCGGTGAGAGGCGGTAAGGAGGCATTCCTGCCCCTTCTGGTCAAGGAGCTAGCAGTGGAGAACAGTGAGGAGCCAGAACTCCCACATGGGCACAGAAGTAATGATCACACACACGCTCCCCGTCTCGGGCCGCAACAGGGCAGTGCCCCTCTCCCCCACTTGGTGCTGTGTCAAAAGAAGCCTTCTAAAAGAAAAGATTTAAGTAAGACTTACAGTCTTATAAAATGCAACACCACAGATGTTTAGGATGTGATCAGAAGTGTTACCATACCAAGAGCCAGGGAAAATTCAACTTGATTGAGAAAAGACAGTTCATAGATACCATCACCAAAATGACACTGGTATCAGAATAAATTCTCACAAGGCTTTTTAAAGCAGCCATCATAAAAATGCTACACTAAGCAATTATGAACATGCTTAAAACAAATGAAGAAACAGAAAGCTTCAGGAAAGAAATAGAAGATGAACTAAATGGAAATTTTAGAGCTGAAAAATAATAATACCTGAAATTTGAAAGTGCAGTGATTGGATTCAACAGGTGAATGGAAGGACAGAGGAAAGAATCCATGAACTTGAGGACTGTTGCCCATTCTGAGCAACAGCGAGAATTAGACTGGAAAAAATTAATAAAACCTGTGGGACTATAGTAGAAGATCTAATGTGCCATGGGAATCCTAGGAGATGAGGAGGGTGGGGCTGAAAAAATATTTGAAGACATAATGGCTGAAAATCCCCAGCTTTGGCAAAAGATCTAAAACTACAGAATCAGGGTACTTGGGTGGCTCACTAGGTTAAGCATCCGACTCTTGATTTTGGCTCAGGTCATGGTCTCAGGATGTAAGATCAAGCCCCATGTTTGACTCCACACTGTGAAGCCTGCTTAAGATTCTCCCTCCCTCCCTCCTTCTCTCTCTGCCCCTCCTTGCCTAATAAATAATAAATTAATTAATTAAATAAAACAAACTGCAGAATTAAGAAGCCAAGTGAAGCTCTGACAGTTAAGCGAAAGAAATTTATGCCAGAACATCATAGTCTAACTTCTGAAAACTGAACGAAAGAGGAAAATCTTGAAACCAACTAGAAACATCTTGCCTATAGCAATTTGTATGATAGCACATTTCTCACCTGAAATCACGGATATCAGTAGAAAGTGGCACTTTTTTTTTTTTTTTAAGATTTATTTATTTTACAATCTTCAAGCATGCATGAGCAGGCAGAGGCAGAGAGAGAATCTTCAAGCAGATTCTCCACTGAGCACAGAGCCTGATCTCGTGACCCTGAGATCCTGACCTGAGCCAAAATCAAGAGTCAGATGCTTAACCAACTGAGCCACCCAGGCACCCTTCATTTTTCAAGTGTTGGAAAGAAAAAACAACCCAGGGGCACCTGGGTGGCTCAGTCGGTTAAGCATATGCCTTTGGCTCAGGTCATGATCCTGGACTTCTGGGATTGAGTCCTGAGTCAGGCTCCCTACTTGGTGAGGAGTCTGCTTCTCTCTCTCCCTCTGCCCCTCCCCCTCACTGGTAGTTTCTCTCCCTCCCTTTCTCAAATAAATAAGATCTTAAAAAAAAGAAAAGAAAAAAAAAAAAAGGAACCCTAGAATTCCCAGTGAAAATTTTCTTCAGGAATGAAGAGAAAAATTAAGAGAATTTTCATTGGTAGACGCATCCTAAAATAATGGCTAAAGGAAGCTTTCTAAACAGAAATAATGGGGGCGCCTGGGTGGCTCAGTCATTAGGAGTCTGCCTTTAGCTCAGGTCATGATCCCAGGGTCCTGGGATCGAGCCCCACGTTGGGCTCCTTGCTCAGCGCCTGGTTCTCCCTCTCCCACTCTCCCTGCTTGTGTTCTCTCTCTCGCTGTATCTCTCTGTCAAATAAATAAATGAAATCTTTAAAAAAAGAAAAAAACAAATAAGAATTAATCTGGGAACATTAGAAAGAAAAAAAGAATAGTAGTAAGAGTAAAAATATGGGTAAGCAATAGATACTCCTCTCCTTTTGAGTTTTCTAAATTATGTTGGATGATTGAAGCAAGAATTAGAATATTGATTTTGTTTTTAGTGTATATGTAGAAAATATTTAAGGCAATTACATTATAAATGGTAGAGTAAAGGGAGGTGAAATTTCTATGTTTTTCAACTGTTACAGTCATTCTGGAAAATAGTTTGTCAATTTCTTTAAAAACTGAACTTGTACCTACCATACAACCCAGCAGTTACACTCCTGGACACTTATCTCAGAGAAATGAACACTTAACCTGTCCATGCAAAAACCTGTACACAAATGTTCATAGCACTTTTATTTCTCATAATCAAAATCTGGAGACAACCAAAATGTTCTACAGAAAGGCAGAGAAGTTTAAACAAGTGGTAGTATATCTATGAAATACTACTCAGGACTAAAAAGAAACCAGCTCTTGATACATGAGCAGTTTGGTTGTGCCTCAAGGGCACTATGCTAAGTGCAGGAAAGATCTGTTACAGTGTGGTTATAGTTGTGTAACATTCTAAAAATGACAAATTTGGGGGCACCTGGGTGGTTCAGTCGGTTAAGCATCCGCCTTCCGCTCAGGTCATGATCCCAGGGTCCCAGGATTGAGTCATGCATAGGGCTCCCTGCTCATCCAGCGAGTCTGCTTATCTCTCTGCCTCTCCCCCTACTTGTGTTCTCTCTCTCTGTCAAATAAATTAATAAAATCTTTAAAAAAATAAATAAAAAATAAAAATGACAAATTTGTAGAGATGGAGAACAAATTAGTGGCTGCCTGCAGTTAGGGAAGTTGGGGGCAGAGAAGTGGGTGTGAATCAGAAGGGACAGCAGGAAAGAAATCTGTGGTAGTTGAACAGTTCTCCGTCCTGGTTGTGGTGCTGGTGGTTACACAAATCTATACATGTGACGACATAGCATAGAACTAAACACAACTTTGTACCAATGTCAATATCCAAGTTTGGGGTTAAACTGTAGTTCCCTAGGATTTAACTATTGAGCGAAATTGAGCCAAAATATACACAGGAACCCTTTGAACTATCTTTGTAACTTGCTGCAAATAAATTGTTTAAAAACAAGATTTAGGTAACAAATTATGTATATGTATACACACACACACACACACAAACTAAGTTAATTTTTCATTTAGCATAATGCACTTGTTTTGAAATACAGAATAAATGTATTACGGGGATTGACCACAAAGGGGCAGCACGTGCAAATTTGGGAGAGCAGTGGGCAGGTCCGGATCTGGTGGTGATGGTAGTTATATGGCTCTGTGCATTTGTCAAAACTTACAAAACTGTAAGAGAGTGCATGTTACTTTATTTAAGTATTAGAAATTTAAAAAGGAAGCTATAATAGTCAAATGTATTTTCTAAGAGCTCACCTTTTGATGACTTTGAGAATTTTCCAGAAACGTCTAAGAGAGATGCTTGTTTTCTTTCCCAACAGGAGATGCTATGAGTGAAGAAGACATGCTTCAGGCAGCCGTGACCATGTCTTTAGAAACTGTTAGAAATAATTTCAAAACAGAAGGGAAAAAATAATACCTTTTACAAATCATTTAGATTTTCCAATCATTCATATTTTCCAACATTATTATTCTGTGTGGTTAGAGCATAGAGGGTCCATTTTAGTAATGTGTCAATGTTCAACAGAGGAGATAAGACTGTTAGGTGGTTTGCAACAAAAAGATGAGAAAGTGGAAAAATGCGCCAGTTGTGGGACTAAATAGTGATCTTCCAAACACTAGCCAAAGAGGCATTTAGCAATTAAAGAAATTTAAAATAGTTTTCTAAATATTCCTTTTTCTTTCTGAGTGTGCAGTATCTCTCATGTCTAAAATTAGGGCATTTTTCTTGGATCTTTTTGCAGACCAACTAATTAGCTCTTGCCACAGAACTTTTTCCACATGTTCTTCTCATCCTTTCTGTTCAGGTCGTTTGACTCACTTTCCATCATCTCATAATTGCTTTTCTTTCTCATTAACCAAGTTAACCTTTTAGGACAGTGTCTCTTTTCTGTGTCGATAGTAGTAGCAGTTCCAGAAAGATCCGCTGCTTTCCCTCCAATTATGTAGCGTGCCCTTGGATGTTTTCTCATGTTATTTCTCTAATCACAGTTTCTTTGCTACTTGGTTTTCCTTACTTTTCTACAGCTCTTTTGAAAGATGGTAATCTTTCTGGAGGTTTTGCTTTTTAAGCCCTCTAAGATGGGATCATTAGTTCATGATTCTGGTGCATTCCAAAACGCTGAAATCAACAAGTATTTGAGAATAAATGAGAATTTTTTTTTAATGTGTGAGCACATCCTTTTCTAGATGTTTTATGAATGTCTTCTCAATTATGTTAGACTGTCACAGCTCTGCTGTGACTTTTTCTCCTGCACCTTGATATTTCCTTTTCTCCAGTTGAAAAAAATAGGAGAAGCACAGTATGCAAGCAAGTTTCCTTCTGTGTCAGACTTCACAAATAATACCCACCATGAATGTATGAGAGACAAAGTTTGGCTTTCAATTTAGCGGCAGCTTCATTTTATTCTCTCTTGTGACCGGAGCTATCTTGTTTACGGTGGAGTCACGGAACATAGATGTCTGCTTCTGCTGCATATCTTGTAGTAGGTATTATTTGCCAGAGATGATGATCTGGAACATGAAATTAATCTACTAACAAAAGTACATTTACATTTATACTGTGATTTGACACTGACATCATGTTTAAATAGCTTAAGAATTACAAAAGTCACACAGTACTTAATGGGTCTGTAAATAAGAAAGCCTTTAGTTTTGATAAACATTCTTTTATTGGGATGCACAGAAAGTTTCTTGCTGTGTCAGTACAGGGGTATGATTTTGGTGAAAATTAACTATGTCTCTCTGAAATGGACATTTTGGATTCTGTCATTTACTCCCCATCCCTCATTCTCCACCCCCTTTGAAGCCCTTTGAAATGCTGAATTATTCATAAGCTAAAGGTTAGGAAATTTCAGCTAACAACATAGAAAATTAAAGTATGATATGTTGCCATGACTAGCTACACATTTTATCAGGGAAATTTTTTTGACCTAGGATTTATTGCTGAGTTGAAAGGAGATGAAAAAAATGCCTTTTATGATTATGAAATAGCTTTTTTTTTTTTTTTGGATAGAGACAGATTTTTTTAGTCATTATTTTGTGCCAAATAACACTTTCTGAAGTTTACCTTGCAAAAGTAGACTGTTTTACTTTAAAATCTAAAGTTTTCTTTTGAGAATTGAAAAGGTTTCAGAAGTTATAAAACTTTAGAATTGCAAGGGACATTGGCGTTAGTACTGCTCCAAGATTTATAAACCAAAATATCTTAAGATTGAACATTTCTGTAGTAATCCCCAATATACTTGTCCTATTTTCCATGGATATTAGTTTTTACCTTATCCCATTGGAAAAATACATTAAATTTTTCATACACGAATGGGTGACTTACCTAATATAAAAATGAGAAAAGAAATATGCATTTGAAAGTTTTAACCTTAGAGTTTATAAAGTTCTTATATTACATGCCTTTCTTAAAGCACTTAAGGAAATATGGCATGTTGACCTTCCTTTAGGGATTTTTTTTTTTTTCCTCTGCAGCAGAGTTGAGCACACACTGAATACATTTGAATGTGTTTAGTTTATTTTGAATATTGCATTTGGCAGGCAGATCCAGAATGACTAGAGAACTGCCATATTTTTGGATTGGCTTAAACTTAATTTAGATTCCATCCCTTAATTGATTGGCCAGTATGAAAAGATGCCAATGCTCATAATTACAGTATCAGAAAACTTAGTTATACAGAGGTATAGTTCACACATCAGGAACTGTTATTTACTGTAAGCAACCTGCAAGAAAGTCAAACAATGAAACTCACAATAGCAGTTCCTGCTCAGAACTCTATATAAAGATTTCCATTCTGTTTTACCAATTGGGAACACCTTAATGTTTAATATTTAAACTACTGGTATCATTTTTCTAATGTATAAATTGCGTTACCAGGATAAAATACGTACAGTGGCTATGCTAGTGTTTAAACACGTTTTGGAAACACCACTTTCATATTTTGAGATGTCAAAAATATAATAAGTAGTTATTTATGTTTTAAAAATTCACAGTAGTTTAAAGAAATTAACAGTAATTAACCTCTGCTCTAAAATCATCAATAAACATTTTTACAGTAATTTACATGCAGATATTTCAGTAACGTAAATTGAAAAGATTGCTGCAGGTAAACTATATTTTAACTTTTAAGATCCTGATCGAATAATTTACAACTCACAGAATATTTAAGGAGGTGCTTTTTTTTCTTTAAAACTTGATTTTTCTTAATTAAGACTTTATTCATGCCAAAGTTAGTGAAAAAAGCTCAACACTGGTTGAGGGTCATTATAGGCAAAACTACCAATAGTCTGTGGTTTTTCATGTAATACTAAGTTGAATAAAGTAAATTTTATTCCTGTCAGAGCCTGAATCACATTTTTAATGTCTGCATGTTTGATACTCTTTTTAAATAGTATCATGCCAGTGCCAAGATTTACTAAATGTGTTAAAATTGGCCTGTTGGGCCCACACAAATTTAAAGAAGATTGAGTCAGTGCGTAAGCAAAATATAGTGATAGAAATTAAAATATCTCCAGTTGAAATAAATCTCGATGTCAAGAGAACTCAATCATATTGATGCCTTCCTATTTAAAACTTTATGTGCAACTGGAAAGCCCAATGACTACTACTCTAAAAGTAAATAGTTTGTTGTATCTGGGCCCTAATAAGTACAGAGATATTATATATGTGACCTTAATTAAGAAAAAACAGATTGGATCAACTAATCATTTCAGCAGTGTCAATAATTTTTTGTATTTTCAAAAAAAAAAAAAAACTTTCCTTTGTTCCTGGTCCCTTTATGAACCAGCATCTTCTGCTAAAGAGATGAACTGGCTTGTATTTTTTAAAGTCTTACATTAGCAAAAATGTTTCATTTTACTTTCATGAATGAAAAGATTATTGACACAGTTGTTTAATTCTTGAATTTTCATTTTTTTTTATTTGAAGAAAATCTTTGCTTTTATTTTTGCAAAATGTTCTGGCATATTAAGAATACTAGTAACATAATTTCTAAATTTACAGGAATTGGCATGTTTAACAATAGTGTATCAGTAAATATATTAAGACTGGATTCATAGACAAGGAATGGGAAGCAATAGTGAAATGTATGTAAAAATTCCTGATTCATTTAGGAAGCACTTCACCTTCTTGCATAGTTCAAAGGTGAATGTCTCCAGGAACTTTAAAATTTTTTTTTTAAAGAGAAAGATGTACATTGGAATGTGAAAAATTAATTTCTATAACACTGGACTACTAGAAATAACTTTGTAAAAATTACTGTTCTGTATAAACTATTTGAAATTCAAGTACAAAGAAAACACCTGAAATCATTGTCTTTTGGCCATGACACCAGTGCACTGTGGCGGTGCCATTTGCTCAGGACCCAACTCTGTAGCCCTCTCTGTGTGTGCCCTCCCTCCAAGTTCTGTCGCAGTTACTATACACACAGGTCTTCCTGTCTGGTCCTTAGAAAAGCCGGGCTTCCAAAGCACTGTTGAACACTGATTCTGTTGTTAATGTGGATGTTCGATGAGTTGTATTTTAAATATCAAAGATTATTAAATAAAGATAATGTTTGCTTTTTTTATTTCTGTTTTTATTTGTGTTGACGGGTTAATTAATTCCTAGCCTTGCTAATTAAGCAAAGGATGGTGGGAAGACCAGCCGCCTCTGCACCACCTGAGAGCTTTCCAGAAATGCAGAGCTTTAGGCCACACCTACTGACTCAGGACCTGTGTTTTTAACAAGACCCCCAAGGAATCCCATGCAGATTCAAGTATGAGAGGCTTGTTTAATGGGCAGTTTGTGACAAATGAAAGGGGTGGGACACAGGTAATCCATTCCAGCTCACTGCTGCCCAAGGGCCCACTATTACTGGAACATCTCATCGTTTCTTAGAGATGCTAGGTCCAAAGTTTTACTTGAAATCTGATTTTTAAATGGTTGCTCCATTGCTTCTATAATCCTGAGGGCCAAACAAAGCACGCTGATAACAATTTTTAGGAGTGCTGTTTTTTCCTCATCCAACTCTGGACACCAGAATCCAACTGTAGAAATTAGAATCCACTTGGACGGATCGAGGGTTCTAGAATCCTCAAACCATAATAAGGGTTATATATCTATTTTATCCTTAATTAGGGTTGGGCACGAATATTGAAATATAAAAATGTTCAAACTGATTACATGAATCTTAGCAAAACCTCATAGCTTAGTGCCTAGAAGGACCGTTTCATTGAATTTGGATGCCACCAAATGGCTCTGATCTCATCAATACCTACTTGTGGGCCCCATGAATTTTAAGTTGAAGACCCATTTTATGTTAGTTGATATAAAAGGGAATTTGAGGGTTGTCTTTATCCCCAAGATTTGCATGTTTGAGGACTCTTTAACCATTTTGTCACCAAATGCTCAAAAGTTCATTCTTTAGGGGC